TGTTCCAGCCAGCAGCAGTGTGGCTGTTGGTGTTTGTTGACCTGTTCCAGACAGCAGCAGTGAGGCTGTTGGTGTTGAGCTGTTCCAGCCAGCAGCAGTGTGGCTGTTGGTGTTTGTTGAGCTGTTCCGGACAGCAGCAGTGAGGCTGTTGGTGTCTGATTTGCTGCTCCAGCCAGCAGCAGTGTGGCTGTTGGTGTTTGTTGAGCTGCTCCAGACAGCAGCAGTGAGGCTGTTGGTGTCTGATTTGCTGCTCCAGCCAGCAGCAGTGAGGCTGTTGCTGTTGTTCTGCAGGTGCACAGAGCTGTCTGTGTCCCTCTGGATGTCCCCTGTGGTGTGTGGGCAGTGGTGGCAGGGAAGGGCCAGCGGCTCCTGGCCGTGACAGACGTGTTCAATAAAGCTGCTCAGCTGCTGCAGTGACCTCTGCACCTCGCCGTGGCTCAGAATGAAGTTAAGGCTCATCACATCTACATTTAGGAAACCATTTTACGGGAAAATGGCGCCGTTTCCCTCCTCCAGAGCCACCTCCTGCCCGGCACGGAGCTGGGGTGGGTGTGCTCGGGAGGATGATCGCTGCTATCAGAGGGATTTCTGTTCCCAGCAGCTCAGCCTGGGCAGGCCCCAAAGGCTGCTCGAGAAATGAGCCACTCAGGGCTGCTGCAGAACAGTTATCTGAAATTTGTGTTCTTGTACAAAGCCAAACTGCGAAGAACATGAAGCAGCAGGGGAACACCTTTCTCTCAGGGATGGGAGTTAAATATTCAGGCTCAAGAGCTGCTTTGGCAGATCCACTCTGACCTCATTCTAGTCTACATTCACATATGTTATTTTTGGGTTCCAAATTTTGACCTTGGTGATGGCGGGTTGTGAAGAAATACTTTGTAAAGACAATTGCATATACATGAAGACAAATATAAATTGATGCAGCTGTTTGTCAGGCTGATCTGGCTTTTTATACAGAGTGTCTATCAACTGTTACCCTTTTTTTAAATTTTATCTTAGCAAAAGGCATTTTTATGCTAATCAGCACTCCAGCATAGATAAAAAGGACAGTGTCCAGCCTAGCCCCCTGCCCCAAGCCCCGCTAAAACCCCAAACCCACAAAAGAATCCCACCCTGCATATCACCATAGTTACCTGACAAAAAGCCCACCATGTGCTCAGGGAGACTCTGTTACTGGTGAGGAGGTGTTGATATACTGAAATACCTTGTGGATTTAATGTGCACTTATGAACTATTTGTGTTCAAAACAAAATACATAAAGAATGGTAAAATTCAGACCCAAAAGCATTTTCCATTATGAAGTCTCCAGCATTTCAGTACTCCTGTAATGTCTGGGCTCACAGATTGCAGGTCTATTATTTACAATAGCAAATGTAATTTAGAAAAACATTCCACAAGGAAATATGACTTTTGCAGTGTATTGTTTTAAAATGATCAATTACTAACATGCATTTCAAGTCTATGAATTTATTTACTGTTGTCTTGAAGATGGACCAAGAAAAGCAACTCTGGTGTTTGTACCCCTGGGGGGATATTGCTGAAGTGCAAATAGTGGGGCTAAAAAATAGTGAGGCCACAGGACCAGGGCAGTGGTTGCCCCTGGACTGGCACGTCTGAGGCATCTTGTTTGCTGGGGTCAGCTGTGGGCTCTTGGAGACCTGGAGTCCTCCCTGCTGGCACCAGCACTGCTCACGGCCGTGGTGGTCTTGTGAGCACCTGGAATCTCCGTGGCCCTGCTTTGAGCCTCCTGGAGCATCCCCTAATCCCTGATTTGGGTCTCCTGGGGCAGGGACGGGGAGCTGTGCGCCAGAGCTGTGGTGGCCAGCAGCCCCTCTGGGATGTTCCTCGTTGCCAGCCCATGCCTGGACCTGGTGTGCCACCTCTGAGCCTCGGGCCCCTGCTGCACCATGGTGTCCCCTGCTGCCTGGGGGACAGGCGGCTCGTCACGTCCTGAGCCTCGTGCCTGTCCATTTCTCTCGGGGTTCTGAAGGTCAGGGCGACCCCAAAATCATAAAGAGTCTTTTCTCCCTAGCCCGAAGCAGGCAAAGAAGCCTGGAATGTGTCTGATTGTGCTTTCAAGGTTGTTTATTTCTTCTTATCTAAACATTCTTTCTCTGATCTGCTGAGCTCTGCCCAGAAAGGAGGCCATGGCAGAGTCTGTGAGCCTTGGGCAGCTCCCACATTATATACTCAACATTGTGTCATATGTTTATAATTTTTTTACCAATACCTATCACCCATGTTAGATTGTGAATCTCTGCCTTAAACCAATAGAAAAGTGTCACCATCACAGCAAGACATGAAGGACAACATGAAGGAGAAGGAGGCCAGGACACGCCCAAATTCCTCCATCTTGTACCCCCTTGAACCCCATTCTAAAGGTCCCAAAATTCTACTTTTCCACCCTGTGGTAATTCAATTACCACACTGCTCAAACCCTTGTGGTTTGTAATTCCTCATACAAACTTGGCAGTTTTTTTCCACAGGCTAAAATCGCAGCCACAGGTGTTTGTGACTTCATCCCAAGGTCTCTGAGCCCCTGCCAGGGTCTGGAGCAGCCAGGGCACCAGAGGGATGTGCTGGACTCCGACACGTGCCCACGTTCACTGGGACAGAGCTCACCTTTGCAAGGCAGTCTTGTAACAGCGCTGTGCTCTGATTTCATATCACAGCCTTGCTGCAAACTTGGGCTTTATTGTGGCTTGGCAAAAACGTAAACAGCAGCAAAACAACATACCTCAGACAAAACTGAATTCTCCTGAGCTGAACCTGAAATCCCAGTGCTGGAGCAGAGTGTTTTCCAAAGAGTGTGATATGTGAGGAAAAGCTTTTAAAGATGAGCAGAAGCAGAATTTCACTTGAAGGTAAACCATTTTGGAGGGTGTGACTTGTATCCCTCTGTGGGGATGCTTTCTGGGACTGCAGGCCATCAGAGAGGATGTCCAGGGAGAAGACCATGAAGTACACTGTCCCTGAAGGATCCTGGGTGAGTACCTGGAATCCCTGCAGTTCCCAGATCCCTGGCTGAGAAATTCCATCTAGGGTAATTGTAAAGGAGTGCGATTCTGCTTGTCCTTACAGAAATAGGTACAGAATTGGTCCTGCTGGAGAGCTCGTGCAGACAAAAAAGAAACCTTTTGTGATTGAAGTATTCTCAGAACCATCCCTCCTGAGCCAGGCAGGTGGCAGGAGCTGCAGTGGTCTCATCCCTGCGATTCTCCTGAGGTCTTGTACCATGGACTCATCTTCTAAAGATCATATTCTAATTCCTGGTGAAAGAGATCCCATCTGCCACATCAAATTTACTGACGGCGCTGCTGTGACTGTGAGCATCGCTCTGCATGCCTGGAATCCTGTTGAGAGCTTCTCCTGCTTGATCTGCAGGCATGAGAGGGCTCTGCATGCCTGGAATCCTGTTGGGAGCTTCTCCTGCTCGATCTGTGGGCATGAGAGGGCTCTGCATGCCTGGAATCCTGTTGGGAGCTTCTCCTGCTCGATCTGTGGGCATGAGAGGGCTCTGCATGCCNGCTCGATCTGTGGGCATGAGAGGGCTCTGCATGCCTGGAATCCTGTTGGGAGCTTCTCCTGCTCGATCTGTGGGCATGAGAGGGCTCTGCATGCCCAGAATCTTTTGGGAACCTCTCCTGGCTGATCTGCAGGTGTGGCAGGCTGCGTGCCCGCATTGGTGAGTGGCTCCCCGGGCTGGGGCTGTGGGACTGCACTGCCTTTGTTCTGCCTGGCTCTGAAGCCAGGGAAGTGCTTGTGCTTCCCGTGCTCGGATCTAAACCAGGGAGAAGGGCAAATGCTCGCCTCTCACATGGTTTGATTCCAGGCATTTGAAGTTTGACTTGACTCTCATGGTTTTCCGTCTTGGGTCTTGCCATAAATCTGATGTGGGGTGGGATGGGGGTGCGTTTTGACCTTTTTCTTTTTCTTTCTTTTTTTATTTGTTTATTTTTTAAATTTCAAATTGCTTTGTGTGTGCACTGTATAAAGCAGAAGTTTTCTGAATTGCTTCTTACCCAATTGGAGGAGTGGGCAGCATGGCTTGACCTCTTACAGTGGAAAATCCAAGTGACAATAATGAGCCAGAAGAACCATGTGTGGCCAGAAATAGGAAGTGATCCTGGGCCTCTGTCCCCTCATCCAACTCCTTCTGTGCCGCCATGGCCTGTTGGGTGCTGCCTGTGGGTAAGAAACTCACCCAGGAGGGCAAGGAGGGGATTCCTCAGCTGTCCTGAAGTCCCCCCTGGTGCTCCCACACTGTGGGACCAGCCCAGCACCCCCAGGGGCTCCCCCAGCTTGGGGCAGAAATCAGTAAATAGTTGTGGGTGTGTTTCTCTGGTGGGATGGAGGAGTGGAGCTGAGATGGCCCTCGGCTGCTGCTCACAGACTTTCTGCTCCCAGGATTGGGCGTGGGGCAGAGCATCCTTCCCAGGCACCATTTCTCGTGCAGTGGGCCAGGCAGCACCTGGTGAGGAGCACTGTGCCTGGGACTGCTGGTGGGGCAGCTGGAAGGGCAGGGGGGAGCAGGGAGCTGGGAAATGGGGGTTTTCCCACGGGAGCACCTCGGGGCTCCCCGCAAAGCCCAGGGTGCTGCTCCCTGGCATCCCGTGGGACCACAACGTGCCCACACTGCTCTCTGAGGTCGCATCTCATCACCAAGGCCTGAGAACCTTTTCTGTTTTACCTTTGCTGCTGCAAGAGGTGGTTAGCAGTGGGAGGCCAGCTGGAGTTGCTAGAACTAAAAATAAAAGCCATCTGAAATGTCTAAATATTGACTCTGCTTTCTGCTGGTGGCATCAGGAAGTCTTGTCTCCCACCTCAGAGCACAGGACTGCAATGTCAGACGTGGATACAGCACAGCTCTGGTAATTAAGAATGGCATTCCTGCTAGAGCTCTTGTAACTGAGAAGTACTTCAGAGGAGCTAAAAATCAGACCGAAGCTGTTCCGTTGTTTTTCTTCTTATGTTGGTGCTGAAAATCTGGCAAGTCATTAAAGGTAAGGAGATGTTGCAGCAAAGCTTGTGTTCATTGCTAGTTAAATCTATTGAAAAATAAAGTGTACATTAAAGAATTTTAACTTTATCCTAGGAAAAAATATTTTTTTGGCAATGTGAAAAAATGTTCCTGCAGCCTTTAATCTTTTCCCGTTTTACTTAACCAGCCCTGCAGTAACTGCTGGTGGCTGAACCACCTCGTACCGTGAAACAGGAATATGCAAATCCCCCACTGATCAATACTTTTACTGGAACAAGAATCTCTGAAGCTTACAATCAATTTAAAATATAATCCAATCCTTTTAATTTGATAGAGAGCCCTCTTCCCCATCCTTCGTGCAGGCAGCTGCTCTTGTGTTCCAGTAAGGGCTCATCAGCCCGGGTGGCTCCGGGCTGGAAACGCTTCCCAGCCAGGCCCAGCGAGGCGGGCGAGGTGCCCTCCACACAGCCCGCAGCCTGTGGGTTTGGAACACAGCCCACAGTTTGGAACACAGGGCTCCGTGCCTGCCTCTGAGGGCTCTGTGCCTGCCCCTGAGGGCTCCGTGCCTGCCTGCAGA